CACCCAGGCATCCCGTGGCTTCAGCAGAACTGAGAGTTGGGGTCTGGCTGCCTGGTACCTGAGCCGTTCTGTGCTCCCTTGAAGCCCCTGTTTACAGCATCCCACCATGGGACCTCCCGATCCTGGTAGCACACACCACGACGCTCCCTCCGGAGGGACTGGCCCGGGTCAGACAGTTGGAAAGAGACTCTGGCGATGAGACTGGAGAGGTGAACAGGGGCCGGCCACTGTGACCCTGTCACACCAGCCAAGGTTGATGACCCAAACCACCCAATGTGTGCTTCTGAAAGACTTCCCTGGCTACAGGGTGGAGGGGTTTGGGCTGGAAGGCAAGAGGCAGGGGCCAAACCGGAGGCTGCAGGGGGTGTGGCAGGGCCTTGCTGGGCTCCCCAGGCACTCTGGACAGCCTTGGTGTCGGTCACAGGAGAGGCCCCCGCTCCAGTCAGGCTCCCCCAGCCCTCTTTCGGCCAGGCCTTTCCGCAGCCCTGGGTGGGTGGCAGCCACAAGGCAGGTGGCCTTGCCTACTGCAGTGCTCTTAGAGCAGGCCCACTGCCAGGCCCATTGGCAGGGGCCCTGCATTCCCAAAGCCAAGCATTTAGCTCTGGGGGACCTGGAGCTATGGGAGAGCAGCGGCAGAGTGGATGGGGGCAAGAGGAGGAGGATAGGAAAGAGTGGGGTACAGGGATCCCCACACCCTACAAATGACAAAGGGAGACACAGGACATGGGCACGCGTTGGGCCTTCATGCAGTTTCTCCATGGCGTATCTTGTCACCTGGCCATCGGTGACCTGTACAGTCGCACAGGGCCCCACTCAGAAGGGCCACGCTTTTGGTTTCATACTCTCCTGTTGCCATCTTGCAGTTATTAATAATTGCATATTCAAACTTACGTTTTGTAAATGAAGTCCAGATGGGTCAAGCACGCGTGGGAGCAGAGGAGGCACGTTCGAGATGCGTGGCGGCCTCGGTTTCTGCTGTCTCAGGCTCACCACAGGGCGTCCACAACACGTGCACTTTGCACGTGAAGCCCCGGGCTCAGGAGGGACCCAGGTTTGGTTTACTATTCCGCTGTCACCATCTTGAAATTCTTAATTTCATCTTTGAACTTGTGTCCTCTGTTCCTTGTCGCTTGGTAAGCATCAAATTCTGGTGAGCCCGGGACGGGAGTTCAGTGAGCCTTGCCTGGAACACAAGGACACGCTGCGTGAGCAGGACATTTACGGACCTAAGAGGCCACACTTTCCCTTCAAACCAGAACCGGCTTCCATCTTAGAAGAAAACAATGGCATTCTTAGAAACGCGAATAACCGAGGAGACTTTATCTTATCCTTTCATACTGTCGCTTCCCCGAGTTAGCCAACCTCTCGGGCTGAAAATGACGACTCAGAGGGAAGGCAAAGGCAGTGCAGCCCTAGTTTCTTCCCTTCAATTCTTCCTAACTCATCAGTAAGGTGAAGGCAGTGAGTGTTGGCAGAATGTGATTATATCAAAGAGCAAAATAAAAACAGTTGAGGGTCTCCACTATTCTTGTAAGAATGAAACACATATGAATGCAAGAAATACAGAAAGCAAGTTGTGCCATTCAGGGATTCTGTGCATGAGTTAGATGCTCTTATATTTCTATTCAAAACTGATATCATGCAATGTAAAGAATGAATGGTAAAATTCATGCTAACAATTTAAATTTTTAATTTTCTTTATTTAGAACATCATTAAATAGCAAATTTAAAATACCACGGTAAGTCTAGAAAGAGACTGGAAGAAAGGAAAAGCTTTATATTTTAGTATCTTCAGAGGCACTTTTTTCCTGCTTTGCACTGAGCTCTGCAAATTATCTACCATTTCTGCCTGGCCAACTCCTATTCATCCTTTAAAGCTCTACTTAGAAGCCACCTCCTCCAGGAAGGCCACCCTAACCCCAGTGAAGCATTAGGTTCCCTTCCTGCATGTTTCCATAATCAATAGCACTATCCTCACCCCTGTGCTGTAACTGTCAATCTGGTCAGCTTTGCGGCTGGACATGATTGCCAGATTTACAGCCGTACAGAGGGCTCTCCCTGTCCTCAGAGCTAGCCAGGGCCTCGCACATAACAGGCGCCATTTCCTGTTTGCTGAATGAACAAATGGACTAATGAAAATAAAGTGCCATATTCCAGACACCATTCTCAGCATTTTGCCCATACAACCGATGAAATGAATGGATGATGGCATCAGAATTTCTGAGAGGCCACCCCTCAGGTCAGCACTGCCCTGAGCAGCAAGCTTTCCCATGTAAACATGTGTGGTTCAACACAACTTGGGTTCTCAGCCACAGCACCCTTCCTGGCCCCCTCCTGCCCTTTCTCCCTTATGTGTAGACACACATATTGGCCAGTTGGCAAGTTCCTGGAGGACAGCAACCCAACACGCCTGTGCTGGGGTCCCAAGCGCAGCCCAGAGTTATGCACAAAACCTGTGCTCATGGCTGTTAATGAGTGGGTTTATGAAAAAAAACCTAAGAGAAGTCAACCTGACCAAGGCAATTTCAACCCTGCCTATACATTTCAAACCATGCTACAGGGAATGCATCTCTTAAAGATGTACACATTTTTAAAAAAAGTCTTACTATTCTTTAAAACACACTCTTGGGAAATGTCAGTATCACTTTTCACAGGATTAAAAATTGGCAAGGTGAACCTCAGATGCAGACGACAGACTGACGATTATCAGGCCCAGCTCAGCCGCTACGCATTAAGCCAGTCTGGCTCGCCAGATCAGGAACACCATTCCCAGATGGGTCTTTGGCAAATAGTCACGTAAACATGCTCATCTTTGGGATTTTTCCCTTTCAATGAGTGTGTAGTAGAGACTGGCTACCAGCTCACTAATCCCATTTCTTCTTCCTGGGCACACAGGGGGACTATGTCTTCCAGCCTCCCTTGCCGTGAGCTGGAGGCGATATGCCAGGGTCTTGGCCAAAGAAATATCAACAGAAGTGACACATACTATTTACAGGATTGGCCATAAAATCGTGTGCATGGTTGTCCATGGCAACCCCAGAGACCCTGTGTTGAAAAAGATAAAGTCGTAAGATGTAAGGTGCCTAGATTCCTGAGTCATTGTATGGACCCTCCTCAGACTGTGACGAATGTGAGAAATAAAACTTTATTGTGTTTAGCCATTGAGATTGGGAAGTGTTTGTTATAGAAGCTAGCATTACCTGTCCTGATTAATACCAGGAATGCATTAAAATGCAAGTAAACAAAAAGCCAACCAAAGTGGCACAAACAAATATGAGGTTTATTTTTCTATGTAACAAGAAGTCTGAGAAGAGGCAGTCGAGGAGTGAATCAGCTGTTCAGGGACACAGGCTCTATCTGTTTTTCTGTTCAGCCGTTCTTGGTGTGTTGGCTTTTGTCCTAACATTCATCAAAACATAGTCACAAGGTGGCTGCTATACCCCTGGCATTCCATTTGCATCCCAGGCAGGAGGCCAGCTGAGTCTGTCCCACACAGCCAATTTTTTCTGACATTGCTTTGGCCAAGACTGCAGTCACCAATGAATGGCCAGTAGGGATTATATTATAATGCTTGCTTTAGTCCAATCATGATTCATCCTATAGGGCTGGGGTTGGGGCTCTCCTTCCCTGAGATCAGTGAATCCACACAACTGCCTAAACAAACTGCAGTTCTCCTAGTGGGAAGAAGACAGTAGTAGAATAGATGCTGTGTGGTTGACAATGGCCTTCCCCAGTGGCTGGAACCTTCATATTCCTTCCTTCCTTCTACCAAATCTGTTTCTCCAGAAGGGACTGCAATTAAGAGAAATCAAAGTGATGCCTGGCTGGATTCTTTGGCCTTTAAATGTCTGAGTCTGGGCCTCAGTGCTGCTGACGCTGGAACTACATGTCATCCTCCTGCCCAGGGGCCTGGCTAACACACAGTAAAATGATAACAGGCTAGTAATCAATCAGATCACAGCATAACTACTCACACTGAAGGATAGAGCTTTCCCAGGACCTAATATTCCAGGATGGCTCCTTTCCTGTTTAAGATACCACTGATTGCCTTCAACTGATCATCAGAAATTAGCAGAGCTATTTAAAAATTAGACTACTCAATGCTTGTAAGGGTGCAGTGAAATGGGCTTGATCACAGGCTGCCTGCAGTAGGGTAAATCATTGCCATATGTTTGGAAAGCATCCTGGCTGTATCATGAGCCTTAAATATGTGCAAACCCTTTGATCTAATAATGTCACTTCTAAGAATGTCTTCTAAGGAAATAATTTGAATATTGAAAAAGCTTTATGTACCGAGTTATTCCTGGCAAGATTATTTATAATAGTGAAAGCCTAGAAACAGCCAAAATAGCCAACCCTTGGAGGACAGCCATTGACATATTTTTATTTTCTGTATAGAATATAGTCTATGAAGGGGAAGTGACACAGATGGATGGATAAATAGATGGATGGATGGGTGGATGGATGGATGGATGGATGGGTGGATGGATGGACTTTACTCAATGACTGTTACACATTCCAAAAATACGGCAATTGCAAAAGGTTTATAATGGGAAAATGTGCTTGGATAAAAGACATCAGTTAAAGTAATGGGTACAATCTGATTATCAGTATATGAAAAAGACTGAAATAAAATACTCCCAAATGTAACCATGAGTGGTGAAGGCATGGATGATTTTTATTCCTTTTTTCTACTTTATGCATTTTTTATTTTTTCTTTTATAAGCATGTACTGTTTTGTAATAAAAATTATTTTTGGAAATATGAGTGTTGCTAGGTGAGCATGGAAATTGGATGGGTTGAGGGACAATTTGTTCAGCTGGGGCGGCATTTGGAGAACCTTCCCTGCCCTGCTCTGGACCTACTCTCTGGTGACCGCAATCCTTGTGCAGCCAACTTCAGGGTCTTTCTCTCGCCAGCCTATCCCAGGGGAGCCAGTTTCCCTGGCCAAGGCTCCTGACACACAGGTCCGTCTGGCCTCAGCTGAGACATACCTTGCCTTTCTACAGGTAGTCAGCTCCGGCCACCTTGACTCATTAGTCAGGCTTGGCCCTTTCTCCAGCTCAGAGCCATGCCTTCGGGTGGTTCTCCTGCAGAGACTCGCTGTGTTCTGTTGACTTTCGTCATTCTGTTCCCAAAATGTGATGGCCTTTAGCTGAATCTGCTCCAAACTCCAGGACAGCTTTTTCAAGTCCCTATATACTGAAGAGGGAAAAGATCTTAGCCATCCCTTCATTTTCATTCAAAATTAAATTGGTAAGATTCATCTCTATCTTTGTTGTCTGCTGTTACTCAGTTTTACTGCTCTACAATATCCCAATGTATAAACATATCACAATGTATTCATCTATTTATTTCTCTTGACGAGATCTGAGCTATTTTCAATGTTTTGATTCTAGGAACAACACTGCTAGGAACAGCCTCATACACACCTAGGACAGGAATTGCTGGGTTTCCTCCCAACAAGGCTTGTGAAGGCATAACTTTGCAATCCATGCCAAACTGTTTTCCAAAATAGCAATAAAATTTTGAGAGAAAAAAGTCCAAAAGATTATACAAGCTCTGTACTATCTTCTCAGTTTTTCTGTAAACCTAATATTGTTCTTTTAAAAACTTATTTTTAAAAACTTTATGGCATAATACCTTTTTCCAAAGTTAAAAATGATGAAAATTAAAAGTCTTTTCAGAACTGCATTGCAATGCGATCAAATGGAGATCAAGGGAAGCATCAAGAGGAGTCTGTTCCCTTGGGTGGGGGAGGACCACGCACTCAGTCACTGTCAGAACACTCATTGGTGCTTATTAGAGTGAAATAAAGGGAGAGAGGCAGGGAGAGAACGAGGGAGGGAGGGAGGGAGGGAGGGAGGGAGGGAGGAAGGGAAGGAATGGAGGAAGGAAGGAAGGAAGAAAGGAAGGAAGGAAGGAAGGGAGGGAGGGAGGGAGGGAGAGAGGCAGGGAAGGGGAGAGGAGGGGAGAGGAGAGGAGGGGAGGGGAGAGAGAAAGGAAGGAAAGGAAAAAGGAAGAGAAGAAAGGAAGGAAGGAAGGGAAGGAGGGAGGGAGGGAGGGAAGGGGAGAGGAGGGGAGGGGAGGGAGAAAGGAAGGAAAGGAAAAAAGAAGAGAAGGAAGGAAGGAAGAGAGGGAGGGAGGGAGGGAGGAAGGAAGGAAGCAGCAAGGGGGAAGGGAGGGAGGGAAGGAGAAAGGGAGAAAGGAAAGAGGAAGGGGAAAAAGAAGAGAAGGAAGGAGAGAGGGAGGGAAGGAAGGAAGGAAGAAAGGAAGAAAGGAAGGAAGGAAAGGAGGAAGGGAGGGAGAAAGGAAAGAGGAAAGGGAAAAAGAAGAGAAGGAAGGAGAGAGGGAGGGAGGGAGGGAAGAAAGGAAGGAAGAAAGGAAGAAAGGAAGGAAGGAAAGGAGGAAGGGAGGGAGAAAGGAAAGAGGAAAGGGAAAAAGAAGAGAAGGAAGGACGGAGGGAGGGAAGGAGTAAAGGAAGGAAGAAAGGAAAGAAGGAAGGAAGGAGAGAAGGAGGAAGGGAGGGAGGGAGGAAGGAAGGAAGGAAGGAAGGAAGAAAGAAGGGAGGGAGAAGAAAAGGAGGAAGGGAGGGAGGGAAGAAAGGAAGGAAGGAAGAAGGGAGGGCAGAAAAGGCTCCTGTGTGGACCAACACTGAGAGGGTCATGAACAAGGACTGTGTATAATCTGGTTCTGCACACCTAAAACCCATCAAACAACAGGAGAGAAGGGGTGTGAAAGGCACTCACACTGGTTTAAGAAAAAGAGGACCCACTTCTCAGACGGGCAGCCGGTGTGCTGGAAAGCATGAAGACCCAAAGGCCAGCCCCCACTCTGCAAGGCAACCCCCACCCACGAGGGGAGTGTCTGCTCTCTGGGCCTCGCCTCCGAGCTGTGATGCAGCTGTGCAGTCAGGCCACCAGGTTTGGGATCCAGCTCTGCCGTCACCAGTGGCGCCCACAGTGCACTGCATGCTCTCACCAAAGTTCAGTGTTCTCATTTGTAAAATGAGGAGGGGAGGATTAAATTCGTGCATGGAAAGTACTTAGAAAAGGGGAGCGCCTCACACAAAGTAAACACTCCATAAATGTCTGTTATTATCCCCCAACTGTGTGCACTTGCATCTGCACACTCGTGTGTGCATGTGTGTGTGTACATGAGCACATGTGTGTATTTTTACTTCCCAGGCCCTTGCCCCGGTACCTGCACAGGACCCCACTCTCAGGGCCAAGATGCGGCTTGTCCCAGCCAGCTGACTGCAGCCCGGAGCCCTGGCCTGAGCTCCCGGTGGAGTCTGAGGCCCGTATGCCTCCCTGCTCCCACACCGCTGCCCACCAGAACACACAGTGCCCTCACTTGTCCCCTTCACGACCCTGTGTCTTCCTGACCTGCCTCCATCTAGGCCCACTCACCTCTCACCTCCACTGTCACCTCCTGCTGCTACCCCTGCTGCCAGTCTGCTGCCTCCGGCTGCCTTCTGTCTGAGTCCTGAGTCTGACTGCATCACACCCCGCTCAAAATCCTTCAGGAGGCCGGGTGCAGTGGCTCATGCCTGTAATCCCAGCACTTTGGGAGGCTGAGGTGGGCAGATCACTTGAGGTCAGGAGTTCGAGACCAGCCTGGCCAACATGGTGAAACCCCATCTCTACTAAATATACAAAAATTCACCAGGTACGGTGGTGCACGCCTGTAGCCCCAGCTACTCAGGAGGCTGAGGCAGGGGAATCACTTGAACCTGGGAGGTGGAGGCTGCAGTGAGCCGAGATCACACCACTGCACTCCAGCCTGGGTGACAGAGTGAGACTGTATCTCAAAAAATTTTTTTCAAAAGTCCTCAGGTGCCACGGTAGCCTGCACTCAAGGCCGGCCTCCAGCCCCAGCTCCACCTGACCTCCTTTGCCCTGTGCATCGAGTCCAGCTCCTCCCTTTTTCCCGCATGACCCACTTCCTTGCTCTTCTGTGGCTTGGGGCACGTGTCCCCCGCATGGAAACTCTTCTCCTCCCCACTCTCCTTCTGCTGCTAGGGAACGTGTGATTCCCCTCCCAGACCCCTCCTGGGAGCTCTTCTCCTTAGCTCCTGTCCCTCTTTACCTCAGTGCCCATCCCCCAACTTTGGCCAGGAGGCCACTCAACAGCGCCCACCATCCATGTTCTTCTTATCCTTTCCAGCAGACTGTGAGTGCCTTGAGGGCAGGGCCCTCAGGCTTCATCAAATCCCAACACAGCACACAGAAAGTGCTCACTGAATAAACGAACGACATGTCTCCTTTAAAGGTTAAAGATGTTTGACTTCTCTCTGCAATTACATTTTCCCTCCTCTGATTCAAAACCTTGTTGGCCTGGTGGGAGGAAAGACAAGTGGGAAACATCTGCCGGGTGAGTTGACACGGGTGGGGACGGAGGACGGAAAGAAATCTGGCGTCTCCTGTTTACCACAGGAGGCTGAACTTGGAAGAAAAATGTGCAGTCCCAGCAGAATGGACGAGAGGACAGCAGCTTCCCCGGGGCGGCCTGTAGGCTGAACAGCAGATGGGGACTCAGGCGGGAGCCAGGGGTCTGCAGGCCCCAGGCCTTCTAAAGGATGTTTAATTCCTGATCCGTTTCAGGGAGGGATGAAGAGAGGCGCCCCGTGGTGAGTCTCTTTTGTGTCCCTCAGTAGGAGAAGCTGGGGGCAATGTTCCTGTCGGTAAACAACTGCATTTTTAAAAGAATAATAGAAGGTTTACTCAAGGACAGCGTCTGTCCCAAAATTACCTTACAGAGAGAGAGACATGGAGAAGATGAGGAGCAAAGGGGCCTGGCCTGACCCTCAGAGCCCTGTTGGGCAGCTGGTTAGAACCTGGAATGGGCTTGGGAGGTGCACCTTTTTTTTTTTTTTTTGGTCACTATTTGTTCAAACTGAACTTTTTTAATAGATATACTTTAAGTTCTAGGGTACATGTGCACAACGTGCTCCCCACCCTGTGTCCAAGTGTTCTCATTGTTCAATTCCCACCTATGAGTGAGAATATGCGGTGTTTGGTTTTCTGTCCTTGCAATAGTTTGCTCAGAATGATGGTTTCTAGCTTCATCCATGTCCCCACAAAGGACATGAACTCATCCTTTTTTATGGCTGCATAGTATTCCATGGTGTATATGTGCCACGTTTCTTAATCCAGTCTATCATTGATGGACATTTGAGTTGTTTCCAAGTCTTTGCTATTGTGAATAGTGCCACAGTAAACATAAGTGTGCATGTGTCTTTATAGCAGCATGATTTAAAAACCTTTGGGTATATACCCAGTAATGGGATGGCTGGGTCAAATGGTATTTCTAGTTCTCCATCCCTGAGGAATCGCCACACTGTCTTCCACAATGGTTGAACTAGTTTACAATCCCACCAATGGCGTTAAAGTGTTCCTGTTTCTCCACATCCTCTCCAGCACCTGTTGCTTCCTGACTTTTTAATGATCGCCATTCTAACTGGTGTGAGATGATATCTCATTGTGGTTTTGATTTGCATTTCTCTGATGGCCAGTGATGATGAGCATTTTTTCATGTGTCTGTTGACTGCATAAATGTCTTCTTTTGAGAGGTGTCTGTTCATATCCTTTGCCCACTTTTTTATGGGATTGTTTTATTTTTCTCTTGTAAATTTGTTTAAGTTCTTTGTAGATTCTGGATATTAGCCCTTTGTCAGATGGGTACATTGTCAAAATTTTCTCCCATTCTGTAGGTTGCCTGTTCACTCTGATGGTAGTTTCTTTTGCTGGAGGTGCATCTTATTCATAGCGGTTCAGGAGCCCTCCTGAAAGGTAGAGGGCCCAGGGCTGTGATGCCCCAGTGCGGCTGGAGGTCATTCTTAAATACCTTGTTTGTGCCCTCCAGTGCCCAGCCAACCTGTTGCCAAGTAGCAGCCAACAAGTCCCCCAGTGCCCGACGGCGACCACTTTCCTTCCCTCTCTGATCATTTAGCAGCCAAGCCATGGCGGGTGGGGGCAGGGGGCGCTTTGGGGCCTCCCTGCTTCACAGCCCTATAGAGAGCAGGACTGGGAAGGACGCAAGCTCTCATGCAGATGAATGATGCCGTTTTGCGCAGGGGAAACACAGGGGGAAGGGACTTGCCCAAGGCCAGCCAGCAAGCAGGGGCTGAGACCCAGAGGGGCTCCTTTCGTAGCTGAGCCAAGAGCCCAGCACCCTCATCCTCACTCAGGGTCAGCAGA